CACCCCCCTTCCCCCCCAGCCACCGCCTCACCTTCATGATCCCGTTCCAGTTGTCCCCCGTGGACACGCGGAACAGCGTGAGGAAGGCCATGCCGAAGTTGGTGAAGGTGGCGTGTCTGCTCAGGCCCTCGCAGGGGTTGTCCTCGCTGCACTCTGCAGGGAGCCGGCGGCCGGTCAGCGCGGCCGGGGCTGACAGCTGGGCTGGGGCGCTGCGAGCCGCAGCCCCACCCGCCGGTCCCTTATACGACCTCCGACCCCCGCAGCCCTCCAAAAGGCCTCCACCCGGCACGACCCCCCCCCCAGCTGAGGTCTGGGGCCAAGCTGGGCATGTCTGCCGCGTGCCATCTGCCGCGGCCACCGGGATGCCGCCGAGAGTGCGCGGGCCTGGGCCTGCGTCGGCACCTGTCTCACCAGGACCAGGGGGCTCTGCGGCGCGTGCTTAGGGAGAGGCCGAGCCCCGGAGCATGCCCGGCTGCCTACTGGGGTGTGGAGGGGCGTGCAGGGCCAGCCAGGTGGACACGGGTGCGTCTCCGCCCGGCCCCGCCCGCTGTGAGGCGCCGGCTTCCAGAGGCACAGGCTGCGGAGGACCCCGAGGCCCGGCCTGCCCGGCCTGCCCACGCCCTGCGGCAGTCTGTGGCCGGCGGACGACCCCGGAAGGCCCGGCACGTGTGCACTGCGGCCACCAGCAGGGAAGACGGCGGCCACTCACCCAGCCTCCCGAACAGCTCCACTCCCAGCGCAGCATAGATAAAAAACAGGAGCATAAAAAGAAGGCCAAGGTTCCCTACCTACACAGGAGAGAAGCAGAGCCAGGTCAGCAGGGTGCTCGGGCCCCGCCCTCGGAGACCCTGCCACCCCCAGCCTAGGCACCGTGGGGCAGGGAAGGACACAGCCTGACCCTTCAAGTCCTGTGACTCTGGAGGGGACACTGCAGATGAGACAGACCCTGGGCAGGCCCTCAGCGGACAGAGGCCTTGCCCGGGGGCTCAGCATTCATGGGCACCAAGCCCAGGTCCGCTCCAGGCCTCCGCCAGTCCCCAGGCCTGATCCTGGATGGACAAGCAGCGCCCTCAACGGTCAGTGCGTGAACTGGCGGCTGAGGGCTGGCGGGCATGTGTGACGCCCTGGAGGTGGGGGTCACGGTCAGGGGATCAGAGAGCAGGAAGGGGCGGGGCTTGGGTGACCACTGGAGGGCGGGTGTGGGGGTGGTGGGGTGCACTGTGGCGGGGGACGGGTGGGGGGACACACAGGGTCATGGGGTCAGGGTAGAAGGACAGGAAGCAGGGTGCCGGGCCCAAGTCCCGCTTTGGCCTCTTGGCTTCGGCCCGACCTCCTACTTTGCGTCCCAGGTGTGCGGCTGGGTCGGGACGGTCTCTCTCCTGCCCAGAGGCTGCACAAAGGCTGCAAGTCCTGTCCACCCTGTCCACAACCTCTGCCCTTTTTCCTGCCCTCTGTGCCCGCTCCACGAGGCCGCCCGCTCCTGGGCGTGAGCTCCGGTGGCAGGCTGGCAGCAGGGCACGGACTGGGCTGTGGGTGGTGGGGGAGGGGGGGATGGAGCGGACCCGGCTGCGGCGCTGTCCTCCGCGGGCTTAGGCGCCCTGCTTCGGCAGTGCCGAGTCACAACCTACCTGGGGAAGGGCTTGAACCACCGTGTCCAGCAGGGCCCGCATGCCCGTGGCCATCTTAAGCAGCTTCAGGACTAGAGCCGGGAGCTGGGCGTTAGTGTAGCCAGGCTGACCTTTCCCCCGTGCGGAGGCCCTGCCCCTAGTCCCACCGCTCCCACCTGGACACCGGGGGGACCTCCAGCCAGGGACGCCTCAGACAGTCTCAGGACAGAGCCCACCGACGGCCTCTCCCAGGTCCCCGAGACCCCCGCACGCCCCCCAGCCCCTCGGGGCGCTGGCCTACCACGGGCGATGCGCAGCACGCGCATGATGCGGATGATGGTGGGGTTGATGGGCAGCGCGGCGTTCATCTCGATCTCCTCCAGCACGATGCCCATGATGGACAGCAGGACGATGGCCAGGTCCAGCTGGTTCCACCTGCCCAGCAGGGGTGTGGCTCAGCCCGCCGCCAGCCCAGGGCTCCGCCCGGGCCCACCTGGCCGCGGGGGCCGTCCTTCCCCCTGAACCCACACACCTGTCCTTGAAGAACCGCCGGAAGCCGAAGGCCACCAGCTTCAGCGCGGCCTCGAAGACGAAGACGATGGTGAACACGTAGTTGCAGTACTTGAGCGCCTCGTCCAGGGACTGGCGGGGGGCAGGCTGGTTAGCCCCCCTCCTGTCCCCACGCACGCAAGGCCTCCCGCAGCCGCTCGGGCGGCCAGGCTGGCTTCCCCGTGCCCTGGTGGTCGGTCTCCCGTTGGTGCACGGGTGCCGAGGCCACGGGGTGGCCGTGACCTGGGGACCAGCGGCAGAGGCAGCGCCAGGAAACCTCCAGGGCGGCCGTTCCCCAGGGCCAAGCTCACCCTGTGACGGGCCTTGGGGGGTCTGCCCCCGCTTCCCTGGGAGGGGCGGGAAAGGACAGCGCTGCCCACCGCGCTCGGCCCGAATCCTGCTGCAAGGGGCAGACGGGCAGGATGGAAATGGGGGCGTGCCGGGACCTCTGGGATACAGCGGGTCCCTCGCTGTGGACAGCGGTGGCCAGTGCTCTGCGGGGCTGCGGGGCTTCCTAGCACGGGCCCAGCGGGGTCCCCGCCCCCCCGCCCAGGCCCCTGACCTCCGCCAGCCCGCCCTCCCCTCTCCCCGCCCCAGGGCCCACCTTGGGCTGGTTGTAGTGCTCCATGGACATGGAGATGACGTTGAGGCCGATGATGAAGGTGATGAAGAGGTCCAGGTAGTGGCTGGTGCACAGCGAGTGGATGGAGCGGCGTGTGTGGGAGTAGTCTGCGTAGTAGGGCCGGCGCTGGGCCTCTGCGGGGAGGGGACCGGTGAGCGTGGCAGGGCTGCCCGCACCTGTCGCCCAGGGAGCCCTGCACGCACGCGGGAGGAGGGGCGGCACAGGCAGCCCGGCCCACCCGTCCCGGCAGCCCCCCGGGCAGCTCCAGGGCCCTGCGAGCCCCGGCCCCTGCGGCCAGGTTGGTCTCCTGGATGGTGGGGCCCTGCGTTTCAGGAAGGGTGTGGCGGCAGCCGCAGCCTCTGCACCCACCCGAACCCTCACTGAGACCCCGCCTTCCTGGGCCTCAAGGCTGGACGGCCCGAGGGCTGGCTCTGCGTCTGCCCTGGGCCATTATTAGGATTCAAACACTTGCTGATGAAGCAGAGCGACCCTTCTTCTATCTCCCAGTCTGGGCTCTGCTGGCCCTCAGGTCGGCCCTTCCTCGTCCCCCTCAGGGCCACTGGGGCCCCCCAGGGGCCTCGGGCGCGGAGCCTTGCGGGCGCTGCCCAGCATGCACATACGCCAGAGCCACAGCACGCAGATCCCCGCCCGGGACCACCTCAGCTGCAGAACCATGCACCCCGCCGGGAGGGGGGGAGCAGATGCCAGCTCCCCATGCGCCCCGTCCAGCATGCAGCCGCGGGGGAGCTCGGGCCAGCCGGGCCACCAAAGGTCACCACGGATGCGGGGCTGCCTCGGGCTGCAGGAGGGGGGGGCTACCCTGAGCATGGCGGGAGCGTGCACGCAGCCGGCACAGGGTGGGGGACAGGCACGAGCGGCAAGGGACCACGCGGCAAGCCACAGCCCTCCTGCCCGCGGGGCCCACCGCCCTGGCACCCGCGCCCACCCTTCCCCGCGGTGGCAGCGGCGGGCCGAGCATGCAATGCGGGATGGGGCAGGTACCTGGGTTGGGGAAAGTGCCTGGAAAGACAAGGAGACGTCTGAGCGGCCGCCCGGGCTCCCCGGGGCCTGTGCAGCAGCCCCCCTGCTCCCAAGCGGCAACCCCTGGTCCTGTGGGGCGGGGACCTGGCCCTCACACACGGGAGGGAGTCTGGGGGGGTCCCATCTGGCTCCTGGGGCCCTTGGGGAAGCCCTGCCTCCGGCCTCCTGGACACCCTGGCTGCCTGCTGCCGTCCCCTCTGCCGAGACCTCTGTGGAAGGTGGCCCTGTGCAGAGCCATTCGGACTCTGGGCTGCAGGCCTGGGACGTGGCCCCAGTGTCCACGGGGCCCGGCCCACGGGCCAGGGTGTCCATGTGGGACCCGCAGGCCAGGGAGCTGGGCCTACACGGCGTCCCTGAGCCACGGCTGGCCACCGCAGGGGAGCTGCGGGCCCCCTGCCCCTGCCTCCGCGCGCCTTACTCCTGCGCCGCCGCGCCAGGCGCCGCAGCCGCTTCTCCTCCCTCCGGCGCGCCTCCTCCGCCTCCTGGTGCTGCCGGCACTTGTGGAAGTTCTCCACCACCACCCCCACGAACATGTTGAGCACGAAGAAGCTGACGATGAGCAGGAAGGAGATGAAGTAGAGCAGCATCCAGGGGTTGTGGTTCTGTACGGGCTGGGCGACAAGGCGGTGGGTCCCCACCTGCCTGGGCACCGTGCCCACGACGGGCCAGGTCCCGGGGGTGACCCGGCTGGCCCAGGTCCCGGGGCCCCAGACGCGCTCCAGTGGCGGCCACCCTCACCATGCGCACCTGCTGGTCGACGCCGACGGCGTCCAGCCCGTCATACATGATGTTCACCCAGCCGTCCTTGGAGGACAGCACAAACAGGGACATGAGCGCCTGCGGGCAGGGGCAGGGCAGGTCACCCACGCGGTAGGGGCCCTCAGGCCTCCAGATGCTCCCATGGCCCCCCTCCCCCTGCACCTACCTGGCCCAGGTTGTCGAAGTTGTACTTGCGCCGCACCCAGCGGTAGTGGGCAGCCCGGCACTCGGCCTTGGTGGAGATGTTTCTGGTGTCCGCCCCCTCGCAGTAGTAGAACTTGCCCTTGAAGAGCTGGGAGGTGGGGCTATCACCTGGGGCCTGGCCCCGGACCGCCCCACGTGCCTTCCCACCACCCCAGGCCAGCAGGCCACACACCTGCACACCCAGAATGCCAAAGATGATGAAGAAGGCACAGCAGATGAGCACGATGTTGCCGATGGGCCTGAGCGACGAGATCAGCGTTTCCACCACCAGCTTGAGGCCCGGGGCCCGGCTGATGACCCTGGACCGGGCAGAGGGGGCAGGCTGCTGGGCGCACGCCGTGGACTGGCCGCCGGGACGAGGGCAGGTGGCTTGAGCTGCCCACGTGGGCAGAGGGTCGCCTGCCCGCCCGTGGCTCTGCACCCACCTCAGAGGCCGCAGGGTCCGAAGCAGACGCAGCACACGCAGGATGCCCAGGATCTTCGCGCCACCGGCCGAGGCCATGGCCACGACGATGTCTACCAGGGACACCAGAACCAGCAGCCCGTCCAGCACGTTCCAGCTGCTCTGCAGGTAGGCATGCTCGCCCCACAGCAGGCCCTGGGCCACCACCTGCAGGGAGCGTGTGCAGGTGTGCTGGGGGCCCCCGTGGGGCTGTGTCTCGGGGAGCGTGTGCAGGCGTGCTGAGGGCCCCCGTGGGGCTGTGTCTCGGGGAATGTGTGCAGGCGTGCTGGGGCCCCCATACATACGGGTCACGTATGTACCTTCACCATCATTTCTGTCACAAAGATGGCTGTGAAGATGTAGTTGGAGACGCTGAGGAAGGCCCGTTCCTGCAGGGAGGGAAGCCGTGTGGTGGGGAGGGCCGTCCGGCTGGCCTGGTGTCCCCCCGACCCCGGGGGCGGCCCCTGCCGCGAGACTCACGGTGCTGCCGGGGTCGATGTCCGGCCTCTCCAGGGCGATGGTGATGCAGTTGAGGAAGATGAAGACGAGGACCACATGGTCAAACATCTTGTGTGCAATGACCTTCTGGCAGGAGACGCGCAGCCTGGGGGGCGGCCAGGAAGTGGGGGGCATGCTGGGAGCGGTCCCAGGGCCTGCCCCGCCCCTCCCCGTGGCTGGTGGGAGCTGGCGCCTCACCTGTTCTGCGGGGAGAAGAGGTACAGGGCCCAGGTCTCGTGGCTACGGCACCACGGGGGGGTGTAGGGCTCCAGCACCTTGTGCAGGCGGAAGCAGCAGCTCTGGAGGAAGGAGAGGTGGCGTCAGCCGGTCCCGTCCCACGCCGCGTCCCGTGCCCTCCGGCCACATGCCGGCCAGCCTCGCCCCCTGCCCGGCTGGCGTCCACACCCTCCCAGAGAGCGCTTCCCCCGCCAGCGCTCATCAGAACAGGGAGCTCAGGAGCAGCTTTGGGACTGGCTGAGGCCAGAGGCCTCCAGGCCTGTCGGAGCTCTCCCCGCCTCCTGGGTCCCTGGGGCCAGGCGTGGGTCCGCCTCCCCCCTCCCCCCACTCACGTCTTCCACGTCGTCATCGAACTCCGTGGCGTCCTCCTTGTGGCTGTCGATGCGCAGGAAGAACTCGCTGGGAAGGGCCACTGTCTGCCCGTTGCAGTCCTGGAATCTGGCGGGCAGGAGGGCGGCTGGCCGGGGGGGCC